AGACTTTGGTAAACAAAAGAGATAGAAGGAAACCTATGTTGAGTGTGGGAGTATACACAGTGAGGAACTCTCTAAGAAGACTCTTGTTTACTCTGTATCTATTTTATTTGTATGGGTGTTTTGTCTGCATGTTTGTCTGTGCACCATGTGTGCAGTGCCCACAGAGTACAGAAGAGAGTCTAGGATGACCTGGCCCTGGAGTTACAGATAACTGTGGGCTGTCATGGGGATGCTGAGAATCAAGCCTGAATCCTCTAGTAGAGCAACCAGTGCTTCTAACCATTGAGCCACCTTTCCATTTAACCAGGAAATATGTCTTTTTAAAAAAAATGTTTACTTTGATATTTATTAATTTCTTCATGTGTTCATTGTTTCACTTCTGTATTTAGAAACACAATCGAGCACTAGTTAAGTGCAAGAAAATCTCATTGTGTTAAGTGCCATTAAATCTAATACAGAACATAGACACTCCTCTGTGTCTCAGTTGACTTATCCATGAAGTAGAGATGCTATATAGAGTCCCAAATCACTTCCATAGCAGTGAGACATATCACTGAATCCACGTGAAGGAGAATCTTAACCTAAACTGGAAAGCCACTTACTCCTGTTTAAATCCCACCCAGAGTAGAAAACCCTCTGTGTTGTAGCAGAAATGTTTATGTTTTAAATTAGGAGTTGCTGCCCACAAGACGTAATAGGTATCATGCAGTACCATGTTACTTTCCAAAGTAACAAAGATTCAGTAACCTCCCTACTCTTAATCTCTTTAAATAAAAGACTGAAGACTTGTGTGTATCTTTAGCTGGCACTGTAAAGATCAAAACACTTCAGTGCTGCCTAGCCTGTGCTAAGAATTGTCTAAATAACTACTATAAGTACTTATAGTACTAGAAGAATCTCTGCTTTGACACGGGAGGGTATGGAGATTATTGGTGATCTTCTCTGAAGATATGTCACTTGAGCAGATACCAACGAAGCTGAAATGCCCTGACCACAGGAAGAGGAGAAAGACAATGTCAGGAAAAGGAAAGAGCAGGTGGCAAGAGTGACATGGTGATCAGCTTGGCTTGAATGCGGAACAGAAAGCAGACCAGATGGCCGGTACACGGTGAAAGGGAAGCGATGATCCAAGGTCAGAGCAGGCTACTAGACTCGGGGCCGTGAGCAATGTAAACAATGAGAAAGACTTTGTATTTTATTCAATGGGCAGTTAGAAATCGCTCGAGTTGATCTGGTTCGTGTTGACTGCTCTGATGCTTTTTGATGAAAGAATCCTAGAGGAGAGGGGAAGCAGGAAGACGAGTGTGGCAGCCATTGCAGGGTCCACATGAGAGCAAATGACTAATTGGAAAGGGGAGGTGGTGTAGAGAAGAGAGGGCAGGTGGTACAGAGAACTGAGAAATGGCGGAGGACAGGCTTTCTGATTAAATTTGCTTTTGAGTTTGTAATATGTCAGTGTGTCCGTGTGGTGCGGTTCAGTCATTGTCTCTGTGTGTTTTAAGCCCAGGGGCAAGCTAGACCCAACAAATACTGGGTTACAGGAGCAATGCTATGCATCCGTCGCCAACTGATCACTCAGTAACATCATCCTTGTAGCCCAAGACAGGCCAGGTGGCAATATTTACACGATTGAAATTAAAAATGCTTGGATAGAGAGATGACACAGTGGTTAAGAGCAATATCTGCTTTTCCAGAGGACCAGGGTTAAGATCACAGCACCCACATGGCAGCTTTCATTCTGTCTGTATCTCCGCTTGCAGGGATCCAACACCACCTGACTTCTGTGGGTACTGTATTTACTGCAGTATGGGCATGCATGCGCTACACTTGCATACATGGTGTAGACACACACATAAAATACGAATAATTATTTTTTTAAAAAAAAGAAACTGAGAATGCTAACAAATCAAGACTTAACAAATGAGGGAGTATTCTTGAGGTGGGGGAGCTGGTGGTTAAACACCAATCCACCACTAGTTAAATCCTGACTTCATTTGTCTATTATTTTCCTTAGAAAAATTTTTCATTTTAAAAATGTATTTACTTAAAACAGACAAATACTACTTCCTCCTCCTATCCTCCTCCAGCCCTTCCCATGCTCGCCCACTCTCAACTTGATAGCCGTTTTTTTCTCCAATTATATTTGTTGTGTACATATATGTATTATAAATATATAAAAATACAATCTGTTGAGTTCATTTTTCTTGTTTTGTGTATGTGGTTTTCAGGCTGACAACTTGGCATTAAACAATCAATAAAGGGACTCATCACAGGAAGAGGCTAATTTTCCTTTTCCCAGTAATCAATAGTCACCTTTAGTTCTTTGCAATTTTCTCTCTTTCAGGTTAGCATTGCCATTGTTCTGGTCTTTTCTGTGCAGCTCTTTCTAGTAAAGACTATTTCACAGCAGACTTTTCAATATTCTGCCTCTTAGCATCATTCTTCTCACTCTCTCCATAAGTGTTCCCTGAGCCATAGATGCAGGAGCTGCCGTGTAAATGTACCAGTTTGGGTCAGGCTCCCAATTAGCTGTTCATCTCTGCACTGTGTCCAGTTTTGATTTTCTGGGATGGGCTCCATTTGCTGTAAAGAGAAGCTTCTCTGATGAGGGGTGCTAGCTACAATCATCTGATATTTGAGGGTGTGAGGATAAGAGTCAAAATATGGTAAGGAATTGTGTTGTCTAGCTATAAGTGGTGGTAACTTATATTTTCTAACAGTCATGGCTTTGCTATCCCTGGGAAGCTGGCTAGGTTTTCAGCACCAGGCATAATTTCCCTCCTGTTGAGTGGTCCATTAGTCTAATTAGACAGCTGTTGGTTGCCATTAATATGCGCTTGCCACTGATTGCACCTGTATGCATGTCTTGCCATGCTGGTCATTGTCATGATTCATGGGCAGCTGGGTAGGGATGTTTAATTGCTTCCCTCTCTTGGCAGTTTGCATAGTATTTTCTGGTCCCATGGAAGCTAGACTGCAGAAAAGAGACTTTAATATCAGATCTAGCTTCAGTCGTATTTGTCATGTGTCCTAAGTATGTGGTGTCGTTGGCAATAGGGTCCCCCTTCAGCCCCTGAAAGGCAACCAAGGGCTACATTAATAACCTGTATCCTTTAGACTACCTTAACCAATATTTTGAAAGGAAGTTTCATGTTTTGGGTACTGGGTTGTTGCTTGGTTTGCTTTTTTTGCCTATAGATATTGTGAGATCATAGTCAGCCAAAGTGGAACATATATATATATATATATATATATATATATATATATATATCCACCACAAACACATATATTCATATATAGACACATATATAGTATATAGTTTCAAGTAAATATAAAATAATATGATGTATTGAGTCTTTTTCATGCAAGTATAATATTATTTCTCACTCACTTTTGTGCTGACCTCTCTCCTTCCCCAGTGGAAGTGCCTTCCCAATTATTCAATTTGTCACTTCATATCACCTGTATCCTGATACTTCCCTCCAACTGGGCTTCCTTCCCAGCCCACCTATGGCACCTTTCTCTGTGATAATTCCATGTTGTATATTCCCAACTGAAGATTTGGAGCTAAGAACCTCAGATGAGAGACAGAACATGTGGCGTTTTTCTTTCTGTGTCTGGGTTAGCTCACTCAATATAATCCTTTCTAGGTTCACCCACTTATCCGCGAAGTTCATGATTTCCTTTTCCTTCACAGCCGAATAGTATTCCATTATGTATAGGTTCATGTTTTCGTATCTATTCACGTGCTGAAGGACATTTAGGTTGTTTCCATTTCTGGCTGTTGTGAATAAGCTAGCAATGAATGAGCCTGAGCAATTGTCTGTGGAGCAGGATTTTGAGTCCTTTGGGCATATGCCAAAGAGTGAAGAAGCTGAGTCATATGGTACATGGGTTTTTAAGTTTTAGGGAATTCTCCATGCTGATTTCCAGAGTTACTGTACCAATTCGCCTTGCCAACAACAGTGGATAAGGGGTTCCTCCTCTGCAGCTTTGCCAGCATTGGCTGTCAGCTGCTTTGCTGATCTTGACCATCCTAACTGGGGCGAGATAAAATATCAAAGTTAGAAACAGTCGGGGAAACTTAGTTTGCTGATTAATCTACCACTCCCCTCTCTTAAATCAGTTACCTCGGGGATGTCCCACTCCTTTAACAGGTCTCATACAGGCTCATGGGAAGCGAGTACCCAATGCACCATTGTCCTTTAAATTTTTTATTTCTGATTATATGTATGTATATTTGAGTATGCACATGAGTTTGGGTGCCTGTGGAAGACAGAGGGGGCACTAGATTCCCTGGAGCTGGAGTTACAAGTGGTTGTGAGCCACCTTATTGGGGTTGCTAAGCATCAAACTTGGATCATCTGGAAGAACAGCAAATGCTCTTCGCCAGTGAGCCCCTGACTGTTGATCTTTCATCTATATTGGCCTTGTCTGTAATATAGCTCACCTCTGTGGTCCACAATATCACATTTAGCAATGCATTGTGTGCTGGTTGCACAGTCATTATGTCTTCCATAATACACCCATCACATCTTCTGTCAGAAGCATTGTTGTCATTGAGGTCCAGGGTCCGGGATCCCCACTACTAAGAGTATACGCCACTTCTCTCTTCTAAGGTCCATTCTCCTAACTTAACTCATCTTTTCATTTAACTGTAGTGAACATTTCCCCTAAATCTCTATATTAATATTTTAGGAAGATATTTATCTTTATTTATCACCCTATTTTTCTAAGGGCGTTTTGTAGCTCCTGGCCTATTGTCATGTATTCCAGGTACCTATCTCCAAGTGTTTCAGTTGGACAGATATAACTTCGAAGGGTAACTAGATTAACAGAGCTAAAGACTTGTAGCTGGATAGGCGATGGACCCTTGGGGAGAACCGAATACTATTGTTCTGCTAAATGAATACAGTACTAAAATGATCCCTAGCAACTTCTCACTATACCTAAAGATCAGTGCATCTCCCCCTCATCAGAGAATCTCCCTCTTACTGCAGATGACAATTAAGACAGATACCCATGATTGGACAATGGGCTCTCCAAACCTCAAAGCTCAGGGAAGTTTGCAGAAGAAGGGGCAGAAAGATTGTAAGAGCCAGTGGCGAACGAAGACTTCAGAGAAATAGTTTCTCAGACATAACAGGGAAGATGCACATACAAGCTCACAACAATTATAACAGCATGTGCAAGACTGAAGCAAGCTTGTGACAGAGAAAAGCCCAGCATGGAAATGGGAGGTAGGCATGGAATCCTACTGCTAAGGAGTGATGGACATGTGAAAACTGCTGGGAGAAGGAGGGTCAGCTTTCTGTAATGACAAGACCACTGATTGGCTAACCACACTCCAGGACGGACCCCATTCCCAAGTAGTTGGGCAGCACAAACTAGACTCAATACAAGAGAAAGAATAGAGAAACTCAAGGCTGCATGGGTAGAAAGGTGAGGGTAGAGAGGATGGATATGGGAAGAGTGGAGGGAGGTGAATATGATTAAAATATACTGTATGAAATTCTCATAAGAATCAGTTAAATATAGCTTATTGAAAAGGATAAGTAAAATTCTGGTTGGCGAACATGATAGGGGAAAATACATTAAATAGAAACTGGAAAAAATGTTTCAACAGTTAAGACGATTTGCTGCTCTTTCAGAGGACAGGAGTTCAATTCCCAACACTCATGTCAAGAGGCTCGCAACAGCCTGAAGCAGCTCCAAGGAATCCAATGCCTTCTTCTGGTCTCTGTAGACACCTGAGCAGACACGTAATCCACACAGAAGGAAACACAGATTGACTCTCCTTGTCTCTCTCTCTCTCTCTCCCTCCTTCCTGCCCCTCACACACACACAGATAGAGATGCAGAGACAGAGAGAAATCTTTAAAAAGTTAATCTATGCAGGCAATATTTTAGTCCATAATAAAAATCTTATGTTCATATTACAGAAAAGAAAACCATTTGAAACATTGTACAGTAGGATAATGATTGAAGGTTGGAAAGCTTATTGGATAATGTGGGCTAAAAGACAAAGGTCCTAGAGACAACGTTTTGGAATAGTCATAGCTAATATTGTGTCAGTAAAAATGGGAAAACATGGGTTGGAAAGATAGATGACTCAGCAGTTAAGAACACTGGCTGCTCTTCCGGAGGACCCAGGTTTAGTTCCCAGCACCTACACAATGGTTCACAACTGTCTTTCTCTCCAGTTTCTGCAGGCATCAGGCATACCCATGGTATACAGACATATATGTAGCCCAAACACACATACATATAAAATAAAAAATAAGATAAACACTCTAAAAATAGAAAAGCAAACAGGATGTTGAAAAAGGCAATGAATGAGCTCATCCATACTCACTGAGTGTGTGTGTGTGTGTGTGTGTGTGTGTGTGTGTGTGTGTGTGTGTGTTCATGAGCAGGCACATGCCTGTCAAGGTCAGAGGTCAACATTGTCTCCTTCTATTGCTCTCCATGTTATTTATTGAGAGCAGGTCCGTTACTATATCCCCAACTCACTGATAGGCTGGACTGACTGGCTGACTAGTGAGCTCCAAGGATCAGCCTTTGTCCTGAAGTCAGGCCCCAAGCTTGTATGTCAAGCACATTATCAATGGAGCCATTTCCTCAGCCTTCCAGTGAATGGTTTTAATTATGGGGAGGAAAGCAGAGGGCACTGAAAGAGAAGTGGAAGACACAACTTCCCACAAAGTTTAGATATGTAAAGATGAATAAAAACAAACCACCTCCACAACAACAAAAACGCCCTATGAGATACTTAAGAGATAACTTGGGTAGTGCTTCTCAACCCTCTTAATGCTGGTACCCTTTAATACAGCTCCTCATGTTGTGGTGACCCCTCCCCATCATAACATTATTTCATTGCAACTTCATAATTGTAATTTTGCTTCTGTTATGAATCGTAATGTAAATATCTGATATATGACCCCTAGATGGGTCATGACCCACAGATTAAGAGTCACTGATTCCGTGTTAGGGAAGAGAAAGATGGAGAAAATTGTGTAGCCTGTTTCCTCCCTATTAGAGGAACTAAGGCATATAAACATTTGGTTTATTAGATGGTACTAATAATAGATTGTCAGACTCAGTCAACAGCAAGACAAAATCAATCGTTGAACTAGAAATCTGTCATAGAAAAGCAGACTACATCATCCCATGGACAAGTATTAGAGAATCGGAAAGAGAGTTCTGGAGTAGGCTACTAACAAACTCCTGAGACATCAGAGCAAGACCATGCACGCTTTAACCCGTTCTGCCTTGGGACCAATGGATAAACAGAGCTAGCTCTTCAGCACCTCTCACTTCTCACCAGAAAACCTCCCATGCTATATTGAAATGCTTACAAGTATTGCCTTTCTAAACGGGTGTCTATATATTCCATTTTGCTTGAGAGGTCCTTAGTTTAGTCTTAGCACAGTGATTAACTGTGGTCTCCTTCAGTCCTCTGAAACATTCCATTCTACCAGTAGTGTGACTAATGTGAGTATGGCTCACCCAGGCAGTGCCCTGATGATGCTCTACACACCTTTCCAAAGTATAAAGTAGAAACCACGCCTTCGAGGTACCGTCTCTTTCTTGATCAGCCCAGCCACTCTAGGAAGCTGACAGGCCACACACAGCTGCAGCCTTCCTCCCCTCACATCTTTCTGCTCCTCGGCCTCCTGCAAATGGGCTCTTCCAGACAACAAAGCCCTAAAAGGAACCTGGCTAACAGGCAGGAAAAGTGGCCACCAGATACATCACAGCCTAACTAGATTCAATGTTCTTCCAGAAGCCCGTTTTCCGAGAATGTCCTTGAGACTTTTCAAACACCCTCCTCAGAAACATCCTCTTTTTACAAAAGAAAACAACAAGTTTCTCTAATCTAATATGGTGATGTCAGTGAATCCTAGACTCATTTCCCAATGGGACACCTTCCTCTCTCCCTATTCTCTCACAAAGAACCTTCGAGATCAGGCTCCATTCTCTCTAAGGAGGAAAACACTCTCCTTCAAGTCCTGCTTCAGCTCGAAGCAATCCTTTGCCTGAAGGTCTATGTAACTTTGTTTTTCCCTCAAACTAGGTGTCTCAAACTTGAAGTCCTAACAAACCCCAGTGTGCAAGGAAAGCAGGAGAAAGCATCTTGGAGGTGGTTTTTGCAGTGACTTCCAAAATTAATGCAAGGGGAGACCCGGATTACAGAATGGCAGAAGCACATGTTTAATAATGGAATGTCATTTGGAAAACCCATGACTATTGCTGAGATGTGTCTTAATTTTTAATAGAGAGAGAATGGATTAGTTTTTTTTTCTTTTTGTCCTTGGAATATTATGGGACTTGACAATCATGAAATGTTTTTGCGTATATTCCAAAGAAGGCTTAGCAAGAGAACATTAGTCATACTGGAATCTTAGTGCATTGTTCCCCTCAAGTTTGTGTGTGGAGATATATATATATATATATATATATATATATACATATATATATATATATATATATATATATATATATAATTCAGCATTCCTTAGTCCCCAAATTTTGTAGTTTGGTGCCTCTCTGTTGTAGCACTCTAGGTAACAACAAATAGACAATGCTGCTTCCGAATCTTAAAACCTGTTTTGGACAGCAAGGAATATGGCTCAGTGGGTAAGTATGGTGGTGTGAATGAGGATGGCCCCATAGGCTTATATTGGCAATTTGGTTCCCAGTCAATGGAACTTTGGGGAGCAATTAGGAGGTATGCCTTTGCTGGAGGAGGTGTGGCCTTGTTGAAAGAGGTGTGTCACTGGCGGTGGGCTTTGAGGTTTCGAAAGTCCATGCCAGTCCCAGTCTGACTGCAGTTTGCATATCACACGTGAACTCGGCTACTGTTCTGGTGTCATGCCTACCTGCCTGCTCCCATGCTTCCTGCCACAATGATCATGGACTAACCCTCTGAAATTATACAAAAGAACCCGACTAAATGCTTCCTTTTATAAGCTGTCTTGGTCATGGAGTTTCACTGCAGCAGTAGAACAGTAACTAAGGCAATAAGGCTACTTGCCAACAAGCCTGAGGACCTGAGTTTGATCTGCAGGACCCACAAGGTGGAAGGAGAGACCAGACTCCCACAAGTCCTCTGACCTCCCCAATCCTGCCATGGTATGTGCACACCCACATGTGTATGCACATATTCATACGCACACAAGATAAACATATAAATGTAAAAAATGCTTTAAGATATCGTGTTAGAGAGCTGAGATTCTACAAGCAAAACATCAAATCAATTTATTGAAAACTTTAGTGTTTGATAAGGACAGTCACAGGGCCAGAGGTGCTGTTTACACTATAACAAAAGTTATATTTTTATTTTTACAATTTACCAAAAGAGAGGAAGCAAGTGGGATGTTTGAATTATTTCTCAGTATATTTTATAACAGTAATTTATTCTTTCTTTTATTTTCAGGTATTTCCAATAAGGACACCAAAGAGACAAATCTTGATCTTTTTAAATATGACCTTAGTTTCTAGAGTCCTTGGGTCTCGATGGTTTCCTAAAACTCTACCTTGTGATGTCAGTCAAGATCACTCAATGACCTATGTGGCCGTGGACTGCACAGACAAGCATTTGACAGAAATCCCCGAGGGCATTCCCACTAATACCACCAACCTCACCCTTACCATCAACCACATACCAAGCATTTCTCCAGACTCCTTCCGTAGGCTGACCCATCTGGAAGAGATCGATTTCAGATGCAACTGTGTACCTATTCTACTGGGGTCCAAAGTCAATGTGTGTACCAAGAGGCTGCAGATTAGGCCTAGAAGCTTTAGCGGACTCTCAGACTTAAAAGCCCTGTATCTGGATGGAAACCAACTGCTGGAGATACCTCAGGATCTCCCATTCAGCTTACAGCTTCTGAGCCTCGAGGCCAACAATATCGTCTCCATCACAAAGGAGAATCTAACAGAACTGGCCAACATTGAAGAACTCTACCTGGGTCAAAACTGTTATTATCGCAATCCATGCAACGTTTCTTATTATATCGAAAAAGATGCTTTCCTCGTTATGAAAAATTTAAAAGTTCTCTCGCTGAAGGATAACAATATCACAGCTGTTCCCACCACTTTGCCATCTAATTTAATAAAACTCTATCTTTATAACAACATCATTACAAAGATCCAAGAAGACGATTTTAATAACCTGAACCAACTGCAAATTCTTGACCTAAGTGGGAACTGCCCTCGCTGTTACAATGTCCCATACCTGTGTACACCATGTGAAAATAATTCCCCCTTACAGATCCATGACAATGCTTTCAATTCATTGACAGAATTAAAAGTTTTACGTCTACACAGTAACTCTCTTCAGCATGTGCCTCAAGCATGGTTTAAAAACATGAAAAACCTCCAAGAACTTGATCTCTCCCAAAACTACTTGGCCAAAGAAATTGAGGGGGCCGAATTTTTGAAATCTCTCCCCAACCTTGTCCAGTTGGATCTGTCTTTTAATTATGAGCTGCAGGTCTACCATGCATCTATAACTTTACCACACTCACTCTCATCCCTGAAAAACTTAAAAATTCTGCATATAAAGGGTTATGTCTTTAAAGAGCTGAAAAACTCTAGCCTTTCTGCATTGCACAAGCTTCCCAGTCTTGAAGTTCTTGACCTTGGCACTAACTTCATAAAAATTGCTGACCTCAACATATTCAAACAGTTTGAAAACCTCAAACTCATTGACCTTTCGATGAATAAAATATCCCCTTCTGAAGAGCCAAGGGATGTTGGCTTCTGTCCTAATGCCAGAACTTCTGTAGACCGCCATGGGCCCCAGGTCCTGGAGACCTTGCATTATTTCCGGTATGATGAATATGCACGGAGCTGCAGGTTCAAAACCAAAGAGTTGCCCTCTTACTTACCTTTGAATGAAGACTGCCACACATATGGGCAGACCTTAGACCTAAGTAGAAATAACATATTTTTTATCAAGCCCTCTGATTTCCAGCATCTTTCATTCCTTAAATGCCTCAACTTGTCAGGAAACACCATTGGCCAAACTCTTAATGGCAGTGAATTGCAGCCCTTAAGAGAGCTCCGGTACTTAGACTTCTCCAACAACCGACTTGATTTACTCTACTCCACAGCCTTTGAGGAGCTCCACAAACTGGTAGTTCTGGATTTAAGTAGCAACAGTCACTACTTTCAAGCAGAAGGAATTACTCACATGCTGAACTTCACCAAGAAACTACGGTCTCTGAAGAAACTCATGATGAATGACAACGACATCTCTACCTCTGCCAGCAGAACCATGGAAAGCGACTCTCTTGAAGTTCTGGAATTCAGAGGCAACCATTTGGATATTCTATGGAGAGACGGTGATAACAGATACTGGACCTTCTTCAAGAATCTGTTGAAATTGGAGGAATTGGATATCTCCAGGAATTCACTGAGTTCCTTGCCTCATGGGGTATTTGAGGGTATGCCACCAAATCTAAAGACCCTCTCCTTGGCAGAAAATGGTATCAAACATTTTCCTTGGGAAAAACTCCAGCTACTGAAAAATCTAAAACATTTGGACCTCAGCCATAACCTGCTGACAACTGTCGCTAAGAGGTTAGCCGACTGTTCCAAAAATCTCACGAAACTGATTCTTAAGCAAAATCATATCAAACATTTGACAACTTACTTTCTAGAAGATGCTTTTCAGTTGCGTTATCTAGACCTCAGTTTAAATAAGATTCAAGTCATTCAGAAGACTAGCTTCCCAGAAAATGTCCTCAATAATCTAAATACGTTGCTCTTACATCGCAATCACTTTCTATGCAACTGTGATGCTGTGTGGTTTGTCTGGTGGGTTAATCATACAGATGTTACTATTCCTCACCTGGCCACTGAAGTGACTTGTGCGGGACCAGGAGCACACAAAGGTCAGAGTGTCGTATCCCTGGATCTGTATACATGTGAGTTAGATCTCACGAACCTGATTCTGTTCTCAGTTTCCATTTCTTCAGTCCTCTTTTTGATGGTAGTTATGACAGCAAGTCATCTCTTTTTCTGGGATATGTGGTACATTTACTATTTCTGGAAAGCCAAGATAAAGGGCTACCAGCGCCTGCAATCCATGGAGTCTTGCTATGATGCTTTTATTGTGTATGACACTAAAAATTCAGCTGTGACGGAGTGGGTTTTGCAGGAGCTGGTGGCTAAACTGGAAGATCCAAGAGAGAAACATTTTAATTTGTGTCTAGAGGAAAGGGACTGGCTACCAGGACAGCCAGTTCTAGAAAACCTTTCCCAGAGCATACAGCTCAGCAGAAAGACAGTGTTTGTGATGACCCAGAAATACGCGAAGACAGAGAGTTTTAAGGTAGCCTTTTATCTGTCCCATCAGAGGCTCATAGACGAAAAAGTGGATGTGATTATCTTGATATTCTTGGAGAAGCCTCTGCAGAAGTCTAAGTTTCTTCAGCTCCGGAAGAGACTCTGTGGGAGTTCTGTCCTGGAGTGGCCTTCCAATCCACAGGCTCACCCATACTTTTGGCAGTGTCTGAAAAATGCGCTGACCACAGACAATCACGTAGCTTATAGTCAGGTGTTCAAGGAAACAGTCTAGCTCTTTGCAGAATGTGGTCACATGTGGCAAGAGGCCCGGTTGCCTGAATTTTTCATAAAGGTTTCAATAAAAGAACGTCTGAAAAATTTTCTAACAGCTGCCCTTGCTCAAATCAGTGAGAAGTCATCAATATACGACACAGAAATCGGGAAAAAAGGGCATTGACAGACTCACAACTTTCTTCTTTCTTTGGGCCACCGTCCATATTCAAACATCTTCCCCAGCTCATCTAGAAAATATTTTGGGAAGAAGAGTGCCTAGGAAGAAATGTAAGCTCTGATGTGTCTGCATGCCATTGAAAAGAACCTCACGTTTGTTCTTAAAAAGTACCAGTATTTTCAATCATCCAAAAAAAGTGGTCAAGCTCTGTCTCTCTGACTAAATTGTACCAAAGTTCAATGAAATCAAAGCAGAGAGAACTTCTCAACCAATTGTGTCACTGCCATGCAGCATCCCCTGCAGCACACACCAAATGCAGGTACTGGACACTTGGGAGCTGTTCAGTGCCTCCTACTCGTTTCCCTAGGGTCCATTGATGGGTTCTGCAGGGAAATAGAGGAACTTTTTTGCCATCCATGGACATGGTCAATTTATAACTGGAAAAAAATAAAAAATAATATCCCCTCAGGCAAAATTATATTCTTTGCATTTGATGACAATTATCTTCTGAAATACGTTTTATGTGCATGGCAAATACTGTTTCCAAAATAAAACGTTTTTTAAAATATCTGTGTTAATTAATGTCATTTTGTGAACTAGTGCCAATATTTGTAAGTATCTGCAACCATGGTGCATCAATATTAGCTGGTTTCCATGATAAACACAAAGGGGGGATTAAGAGAATATGTATTTAGAATTATCAGGGATGACAAACTAGATGAATCTCAATTGTATAACTTTATTTCTGTTTTTAATGGAGAAGAAAATGACTCAGAGGCTAAATAAGCTTAGCAGTAGGTAATCATCAGGGGAGTGTGTGTGTGTGTGTGTGTGTGTGTGTACCACAGGACAACTCAGGCGTCCTTCTGAGGAATTATATCCAGTCCCTTTAAGACAGTTTTTTCCTATTGACCTTGAACTCAACAATGAAGCTGGACTGGCTGATCAGCGAACCCCAGGGATCTGCCTGTCTCAACCTCAGAGCTTAGAGTGTCTGGCACTAAACTTGGTATTTTTACAAAGGTCCTCACACTTGCAAAGCAAGTGCTTTGCTGACTGAGCCGTGCCTCCAGCCTGAAAAAAAATCACTTTTATTTTTGTCTTTCATATACAAAGATAACAGAAGGAACTCAGATATTATTAAGATAAACTTGGTATACATTCACATGGGTTTGAAGTTTGAAATATGACCAACTCGCTATTTGGGAAAAAAAATATGTACAGGTTTCAAAACCTGAAGTGATAGCCTAGTGGAAAGGAATTTTCCTCACCTGTGGAAATCCCAAAAGATTCACGTTAGGAGTATCTGGGAAGAGATAGTACATAAGTTGTGTCCAAAGGAAACTAGTAGGAAGTTTCACAAAATTCCAAACTACCCTCTGGAACAGCAGAAAACAGCAGAGAAGTGATCAAACTTAGACATTTCACAATTTCTCTGAGCTTCATTGTATTTAATAGATGGTGTTCTTCTTCATTGAAAACACAGATAACGTCACAAAAAAATCAGCTCTCAGCTGCTATATATTTTCTTTTACGAACATGTATAAATTCATAAATTTATGCTATCTTTGAGATTTATAAAGTATTAAGCACTCTGAGACAACTTAAGTGTCTTCTGAAAAACAGTAAGAGGAGGAGAAACTAAAAATGCCACGACTCTTAAACCAGTATACTTGCACATGATGTTACGAATAGTGGTGTGATGTGGGATAATACCTCAGAACACACCGACAGATGGTTATTGTTGCTTGCCTTTATTGTCATGATGAGTCACTCTTTTAATGACCTCAGGGTTCTCTGTGGGGGTCGATAGGAGGAGGGTTGTCTACGGAGTGCACAGAACAAAGCTACCACCTTAGACTACCTTGAGAACTTTACTCCCTAGTTCCATATAAAGCTCCCAACAGAGAGTTTCTCTGCTGATCTAATGGCTATATCCCAGGAAGCACTTGAAGATTCTCCGTAAATCTCACTCTACCATCAAGATTTGACTTCTAGTTCCTTGAAACTATGGCCCTGATGAGGGCACATCTTTTGACCTGGGATCAATATTGTACCTTGACCAGATGTCAGTATTTTTATGATCCCATACATGGGCATTGGACAGAGCATATGATATGGCTGAGAAAAGACAAAGTGAACACCTTCAGTCTGTAGCACACTGTTCATGACTCGGGTTTTCTGGGTTCAGCATCCTATAAACTTGCAGTTCTGTCTATTGGAACCTTTTTAGGTCTCCTAAAGGTAGGCACGGAATGTGGAGTACATAAAAGAATGCAGTGATCTGAGAATGTGAGCATCTTGAATCATTCCAAAAGAAGTTACGATGAGGGTAATGAAGGCATACACTTCTTGGAGGTCAAACCTGTTATGTTACCCAATCTTAGACAAGCCTTTTACAACCGGAGACAGGGTTAAGAGTTGTTGAAAGTACTGTCTGCTCTTTCAAAGAACCCTGGTTCAAGTCCCAGCATCCACAAAGTAGCTCACAGCCATCCTTAACTACATACATTTCCAAGGTATCCGATGCTCTCTTTTGGCCACACTGGTGCTGCACAGATGTGGAGCACAGACATACATCCAGACAAAAGACCCATACACATAAAATGAAACAAATCTTTTTCAAAACTTAAAATATAATTACATAATTTTCCCTTTTCCTTTCTTCCCTCTAATTCCTCCTGTGTATCCTTCCTTGCTCCCTCTAGAAGTCATAGCCTTTTTTCTTTAATTCTTCTTCTTCTTCTTCTTCTTCTTCTTCTTCTTCTTCTTCTTCTTTCTCTTTTTTTTCCTTCTCTCTCTCTCTCTCACACACACACACACACACATTATAGGGGCAGGTCAGTTTAGGTGTCCTCTCCTCTTTTGCTTAGAGTCTTAGCTGGGGTCAGCCTTGTGGATTCCTGGAAATTTTCCTAGTGCCATGTTTCTCACTAGCCCTTTAATGACTCCCTCAGTCAAAATACTTTTTTTCCTTTCTCTCCCTCTCTGTCCTTCTCCCTTCTTGAGCATCCCATTTCCTCATGTTCTCCTCCCCTTCCTTTCTCCTCTCCCCCTCCCCCCATTTTTAAATTTCTCAGGATATCTTGTCTGTTTCCCCTTCCCAGGGGACTCCAATATATCTCTTTTAGGGTTCTCCTTGTTACCTAGCTTCCTGGGACCCACTTAGGAGTGAGCACATACCATGTTTGTCTATCTGGGTCTGGGTTACCTCACTCAGGAATTTTTTTTGTAGATCCACCATTTGCATACAAGTTTCAAGATGTCATTGCTTTAAACTGCTGAGTAGTACTTTATTGTGCAAATGTATCACGTTTTCTTTATCTGTTCTTAGGTTGAGGTGCATCTAGCCTGTTTCCAGGTTCTGCTACTATGAATAATGCTGCTATGAGCACAGTTGAGCAAATGTCCTTGTGGCGTGACTGTGCATCCTTTAGATATATATGCCCATCTTTTAGATGTATCTTTTAGATATATAGATATAGCTATAGATATATAGTATTGCTGGGTCTTCAGGTAGATTGATTCCCAACTTTATGGGAAACCGCCACACTGATTTCCAAAGTGGATGCACAAGTTTTCACTCCCACCAGCAATGAAAGAGTGTTCCCCTAAGTCCACATCCTCTCCAGCATAAGCTATCATTGGTGGTTTTGATCTTGGCCATTTTAAAGGGTGCAAGATAGTATCTCAGAGTTGTTTTGATTTGCATTTTCATGATAGCTAAAGATGTTGAGCAAATCCTTAAATGCCTTTTTGCCATTTGCAATTCTTCTGCTGAGAATTCTGTTTAGATCTGTATCCCATTTTTGATGAAATTATTTGGTAATTTGATGTCTACTTTCTTGAGTTCTTTAGACATTTTGGAGAACAGACCTCTGGTAAATATCAGGTTAGTAAAGATCTTTTCCCGTTCTGTAAGTTGGCGTTTTGTCTTATTGACTGTGTCCTTTGCCTTACAGAATCTTCTCAGTTTCAGGAGGTCCCATTTATTAATTATAAATATGTTCAGGCCTTCTTTAGGTAGCCGTATTGTTGAGGTAGCATGGGTAAAGTTTCCCTGTCATTTCTAGGACACAAAATCTCAGAGCAGATTCCTGGATCCTTTGGCATTTTACAATGTTTCTACCTTCACTTCCAAGATATTCTCTGAGCCTTGGATGCAGGAGTACTGTCAGAGATGTATCAATTATTGCTGGGTACCCCACTGTCACTTGTTCTCTGCATTTTGACCAGCTGTGTTCTTCTGTAATGGTCTCCCATCTATTGCAAAGAGAAGTTTCTTTAATGGGGGGTGAGAACTATATTCATCTGTGGATACCCAGATAAATATTTAGAGTATGGTTAGCAATTGTGGTTTGGTAGTAAATTCTCCTCTAAAATCTATGACCTCACTAGCTGGGGGTAGTTGGCTAGCTTTCTAGTACCAGGCTAGAGTTTCTTCATATTGAATTGGCCTTGGGTCCAAGTAGAGAACAAGGTTACCCCCTTGATGAATGCCACTGTAGCATCATTAGGGTAACTGTGCCGCGCTGGTCAATATTATAGCTCATAGACACCACAACTGAGTAGGATTATTCATTTCTTCTTGGAGTTTTGGGTTGTCAGGCTCTGGGATACACTGCCAGTTGCATCTGATAGAAAGTTGAGCTAAGGAATGTCAAGAATTTCTTTGTTCAAACTGGAGGCCAAATACCCAGCAGTGTGAGAAGGAAGCAACCAAATAATTAATGTGAGAAAAGATAATATGAAACCACTACAGAGGAGGGTGAAGGCAGAAAGAAGAAAAGGTCCCAAACTCTTAATTAGAAGATGTGGTCATGGTGATCCTTGGTGATCAAAGGAGGCCAAGGTTCTAGTGAGATTGAAATTACAACAGGACAGTTTCACACCCTAATTTCTGCCCTGACCTGCATGGCTTTGATGTTAACCTAACTGGGACAACAAAGAATGAAGACATAACAGACATACATACAAAAAAGCTGGGATTTGGTGGGCTACGCATCCTGATGGAGACGCACCAGCAGCAGAGAAACTCAAATCAAAGGAGGAGGAGGTGGGTTAGCTAATCCCAGTAGGGAGTTTCTATAGAATAGGGGGTGATCTCAAGCTGCAGTCATTCGGGAGGAAGAAGCTCTGCTTCATACTCTTTGCACACACCATCCATATCCATCCATACTTCCATTTGGGAAAGACCTTGCTGTTCCTAAGGGTCTGAGGCATTGGAGTTCTTGCACGTGTCAATAACGTACATTCACTTGGGATTTCATCCTCTCTCCCACTAGTAGATTTATTCCTTCCTTCCTTCCTTCCTTCCTTCCTTCCTTCCTTCCTTCCTTCCTTTCTCTCTGTTCTTCTTTTATCTCTCCATTCTTCTTGGTTTCATTTTGATTCTAGAAGCCCATTTTTTTTTAAAAAAAAAACAAAGAAAAACCTCTAGGAATTCCTGAGAAAGGAGACGGTAGAAAGAAGAAGGTAGCCAGGGTTGTAGGTAGACTCTTCATTGGCCATTTACCTAAGTGCGACTGTGGGGATAAAACCTGTTTCCCATCCCTACTTTAGTGAGCA